TGAACCCAATTTATCAGACCTCTACAATTGATTTTACTGGATCATTTACTGGAATTACATGGGGTGCAAACAGAGCAGAAACTGGGCCAGCCAGAATAAATCATGAGAACCAGCTCTGAAGCAAGGCATCTGGAGAGGAGCATCACGGAAGAGGGACATCTGTATAGGGCAGCAGCATGTGTAGGGTGCATTTAGCAATACCTCCCACCGCCCACCCCTGATGGAAGGATTTTACTGCCAAAGGGACAGCTGTATTTGAAGAAGGGAAAAACTAACAGATCCATGTGAAACAGTGGGGAAATAGCAGAGGGCTTATAGTTGAATATAGACTTGTCCCAAAGCTGCAGAGACAGTGTCCCTGCTTACATCAGTGCAAGCTCCACATATACATGTATGGGAGAGAGCAGACTGGTCTGGACCACAGAGGGTGGGAATTCTGTGTTCAACTCTCCATGGACACCAGCCCCTCCATCTATGAATGATTTTACTGGGGGGGGGAATATCCTCAGATATTAAGGTAGCTCCATTTTCCCTGCTGTCAGCATCAGTGCAAGCAGGACCTAGGCATGGCGATGCTCATCCCGGCGATGCTCATCCCAGCACTACTCGGTGAGATGCTCCCTCCCTCTCAGACCACTAACATTCTTTAACTGCCTTTAACAAGGGAAGTTTTGGGCCTTTGCCCAACTGTTCCTCAAAGCCTTAATGTGAAACACCTCCCCTTTGGCCCCACAGAGGTATTTGAGGAGTTAAGCTCTTCTTTGGGTACTCAGCTCCAAGGGAGAGTAATGAGAGTTAAGCACCTAATGCCTTTGTAGTTTCTTGGCTCCTGATAGGAGCCCTGGGTAGGACAGCTGTGTTTGTACTGGGATTAAGATGGAGGCTTTCACGCTCTCCATTCAGATGCTTGCGGGATGCAAGGACCAAGAAAGAAACTCCAGCATGTAATAAACCCAGGAGTGCCCTGGCCACTGTGTGAGCACTCATCTCCCTGACTGATGAGCACCACAAGGTGCTTTCTGCACCTACACAGGCAAAGGACTTCTGCTCCCAGAAGATGCTTTTGTGGAGTCCCTTTTGCAGGATAAAAAGGGGTTTGGGGAATGGGGACAAAGCAGAAAGTGCAGGTGGAATGTGCTGCCAGAGAGAAACAGCCAGAGGGATGCTGGAGGGATGCGAAGGCTGGATCCACCTGGAAGAGCCACTGAAATGTTAATCCTCTTCTGCAGGCGCAGATTTAACTCTGGGTGTGCCAAGTGCCCTCCTTCCCCGTCCCAGCTCTCTCCCATGGATCAGAGATCATCAGAAGCTGTATGAAGCCAAGAAGGACTAGAGAAAGCATTCCTCATCCAAAGCCTGGCTCTCAGGAGCAGATGGGCTTCATTACTACCCTGCCCTCAGCACTGGAACGGGCAGGTTCTTTTACCACAGCAGGTCACAGCTACAGCATTTCATGTCTTCTTCAAACACAGCTTTCTAGCTCGCTTTACACAATGCCTTAGCTGACAAACATCCAGGTCCTTTGAGCACTGGCTCCTCCTGCATCCCAGGCATCCCAGCGCCATGACGGGGAACCTGAGCTGGGCAAAAGTGCCCCATTACAAAAGCAAACACACCAAAGAAGAAAAACCAAAACCATCTCAGAGCACATCTTGGATTCCACATCCCTACCCCTCTTGCAGCACTGACCAGGGTGAAGGCAGCGTTATCTGGATGGGTGAGGACATGCATCAGCCAGCTGCAAATACAACCTGGTCTCAGAAAGCCCTGACTGGGTGAACCACGCTCATGTCCCAAGGCAGCACCTGAATTTCAGCCTCAAAATACCTTTAAACAATGAGAAGGAGCTGAGGTCTAAAACAGGCTCTTTCCTGTCTGGGAAAAAAAATCCCCACTTTGTAAAGGTCTGCTAACATCTAAGCGTCAGTATCTCTGTTCAGGCAATGTATAGGTGCATTTGTAGGGTGAAAGACCTCAATCAAATCACTTATAAACTCTACAATCTGTAATTATTTGCCCTCCCAAAGGGACAAATCTTTAGGCACAAGGATGGAGCTAATCCAGAGTTCACAAGAGCAGTCACAGACTATGGATGCATAGCTTAGAAAACCTGAAAGGCCACATTTGCAACCGTCAGAAGCAAGAGCTTCTCCAGGACCTGCTTGTGCTGGGCGATGCCGGGCTAGGGAACAGGAAACCATCCCAAAGAGTGGTGGCAATGGGTATCTTCTACATCCATCTTGGCGCATCAAAAGGCTGCTAACCACACCAAAACGATGAGGCATGGTTTCCTGCCTGTGATATGTGCCATGTGCTGCTAAAGAGATGTAAGAAGCAACAGCTGGATGGGGCAGTTGGACAGACCTGGAGCAGAAATAAAGCAGCATGTTGAGATGGAGGGGTTTTCCTTCTTTCATCCTGGAGAAGGTGATTCAGTGCTGGAACAAGCTGGAAACAAGAGGAAGTAGAGCATGCCCCATCACACAGACTGTAAGCCTGGAGTGAGATAGCTGAAGGCCAACAGGACAGATGGGTTATCAACCTGAAGTGAGCAGAGGACCCCATGGATGGGGGAGAGTAAGGACTATAGCCCATGTCTGCTCCCTGGTACAGCCAGCAGCAAGGAAAGCCAACATAAAACAGCCAGGGATATGAAGGCTGCACCCTCAAGCACACGAACCCACAAGTTGGGCTTGATCTTAAAAGCCTTTTCCAACCTAGTTGAGTCAATGATTCTATGTGATGCTATCCCTCAGGAGCACCCACCTCTCCTGCGGTTGGCAAACCCACTTCAGCCTCTGGGAGAGGGACAACGGGGGATTCTGCTACTGACTCCAATACAAGCACATCCAGCACCAACATAACCAACTTGGTGGCATTTAGCTATTTCAGCACACGCTGGAGTGTGGGTGTTCCTAAGGCAGAACAAGAAACCCTTATTTCAGCACAGCCACGGAGCTCAGCGCAAACCGCTCCGGCACACGACTGCCCCGATGGAGCTACAAGGGGGAAATGCAAACGGAGCAGTTTTCGTCCCATTTTCCTGCTCCTTGTCTTTGTCAGCAAGGCTTAATTCAGCACGTTGTATGTAACAGACTGCGGGTGGCCAAGTCAACGTGCTGAAGCCTGCTAAGAGATGACAGTTCCAGGGGGAAACTCACAGCACTGCTGCTTCTCCTAGCATTTTTCTTCATTACTGTACAGAAAGCAAGTGACACTGCACAACCAGAACGCCAAAGAACCCCCAGGCAACCACCCCTTTAAAGATGACATTTTTTGTCTGCAAGCCGTTTACCTATTACTGTGACTTCTGACTTCGAAACTTCAAGTAACTGGTCTCAGTTTTGTTTTCCTTTGGGGTAAAAAGAAAAGCAGCATTTTTCGCTTGCTTCTTTTCTGTTTATGGCAGTGAGCTTTCCTCTGTTAGTGGGAGTTTTACACAGGACTGAAGAGGAAAGGGAAAACTAAAGTGGAAAATAATAAGGGAAAGAAACAGCACAAAAATGAAGGCTGGAGCAAGGGAGACAACTAACTGTGGCTAGAAAATAACCGGGTTTTAAAGGGCATGAGCATCACTTGATTTCACCTCTAATGTGCTCCCCACCCTCGCAAATGGGCTGCCACTGCAGACAAACACCACCTGAGGGTCCTACCCCAGGCCTGTGACCAACTACAGCACCTTTAGCAATCACACTGCCCCAGGTTAAGAGATCTGCAGTTCATTAAGGGTGCTGCATCTCCTAGAGCCGCGTCTGGTGTTTCTCAAGGGGTCGTTCCAGCCCCTAAACCCCTGATGAGATGCCATCACCATCACCTGCTTTCTCTGACCTGATGGGAACTGCATGAAACAGTGCTGAGATCACCCAAAGGATTAAAGTCAGCTCAGCACAGAAAGTTCTGCTGACTCAGACACGCAGAAGTCTCTATTTGAAAAGCAGAGTCCTGAAAAGAGCCACATTTTCCAGTCAAATATTAGAAAGCAGACCTAAGGTAAAACACAACTATCTCCCCATTAGGAGCCCTGGAATCAGAGCCGACTCAGTGCTGCGCTTTATAGAGTCCCAATACTAAAGTAAGACGCATGTATCATTACTTTAAAACAGAGTTACTACAAAATACAGCACTGACCGTGCTCTGCTGGGATTACTGAATTCATTTGACAGACTTCACATGCTCTCCTACAAATACCAAATGCTTGCCCAAACCTAACTGCTTTTCAATTTTATTCAGCCAACAAGTTAAGGCTACGTCTATTTTTAGGAAAGGAAACACATTTAAGTGATGGAGCAGCCCGTATAAAAGGAAAATCACTTTTCATTTAGCTCCCCCCGATAAAATCTAACATTTCAGGCAAATCAGCCATCTGACTTTTAAGGTGGAACTTTAAAGGCCCCATTGATGGATTGCTGCTATAAGCACAAAACGTTAGTACATTGTTAAAACTACAGGCATTACCCAGTAACATCTCTTAGGGGAAGAGGAGCCAATTTCCCCCAGAGAGCAGAAAGCAGGCAGGGAAATAACCGCTAGTACAGAACTGTTTATACTGTAGCTCAGAATCGTTTCCCAATGTGGAAGATGTTTCTAAGAGCACACAGTAAAGTCCCTTGAGCAAATCAGCAGGATTCCCCAGGAGTTTTAGTGGCCGCGGCTGTGAAACGGGCACTCATGGCACAGAACAGCTCTTCCCTACCCTATCCCGGCACAGCCTCGGGAGCATTCGTGCCCCGCTCACACCGGACGGGACGGGCACCGCAATGAAGTTTGCTTGAACAACGCAACACGAATCGCTGCAGACGGTGCCGGCCCCGCACCGCCAGCAAACACAGCAGCGAGGCTCCCAGCCCCGAAGCGAGCCGAGCTCACCGGCGAGCCCGAACTCCAGCTCCCCCGTGGGTCGCTCCCGCCGGACCTCACCGGCTCGCCCCGACCCCGCGGTGACGGCCGGAGCCGGCTCAGCCCTACCCGCCGTCCCGCACCCCTCTCCGCGGCGGACCCACCTGGGTGGAAGCTGCTCTGGAAGTACAAGACGCCCAGCAGGAAGGAGCCGAGCCCGGCGGCCAGCGCCATCCGCGGAGCCCGGCTCCGCCGCATCCCGCGGCCGCGCAGCGCCCCGCGGACAGGGCCCGCCAGCCCCGCGCCGCGCTCCGCCCCGCCGCGGCAGGAAGTGAGCGCGCCGCGGATCAGCCGCGGGAACGGGAACTTCGCCCCATGCAGGACAGGGATGGGGATGGGGAGCGGGACCGGCGGCGTTTCCCTGCCCGGTGCCGGGCCCGCGCTTCCCACCGAACGGCCGTGGTAGGGTTAGAACGGGAGAAGAGAGAGTTACGGATGTGCTGGCGAGCGCGGGAGCTTCCTGGGGACTTCTCTCAGCGTTTCGCAAGCATCGCAAAGTTTCGTGGGCTTAAAATAACACCAACAGACCTCCTCTTTGTGTTCTGGGCTGCCCCCACCGGCACTGCAGTCTTTAACCGAAAGCAAAAACCCTTCTGCCTACTTCTGACTCAAGCAATAAAGTTATATTGACGGTTAATTATACAACGTTACAAGAAGAATAATTTTCTACCAATCTACCCACGTTTTTGGGAAGCAGGAGCACAGAGCGCTCTCACCACGTCCTCTAACCTCCAGGCTCTGTAATTGCAGGGAAAACAAGCTCTCAGCCTTCTGTTGCCCCAGTTTTGAAATAGCAGCAATGCTGTTGACCCACCTGTGTAGAATACACTCAAGATGTACTCAAAGGCCACTTGGCACATTAGGAAGCCAGGATGGGAGCTGGGATCCCACTGACACCAATCAGTTGCTGCTTCTCTCTTCATCCCTGGAACACTTAGCTTTTAGAAAGAGAGAACAACTCGAGGAGCCTCTAGGAATGACAGACTCCAGATGTGTGGCCATGGTGGGCTTCATTCTGCCCTTGTTTAAGGCAGAGTAAACCAGGAAGAGGAATTCATTGCAGTGAAGGAAGCTGGAACAAAATAAGAACCTGAGCAGTGTCTTGAACTCTAAGTTGAGCTGTGAGCATGAAATTAAAGAGCTCTTTAACATCACGGAGTGGTTTGGGTTGGAAGGGGCCTTAAAGCTTGCCTAGTTCAAACCCCCATCCGCAGGCAGGGACGCTTGCCACTAGACCAGAGGAAAAGTCGTCCCTGTTGGATGGCCTAGAGAGGGGCAATGTAAATGAGACCACCACTGAGACCTTGATACAGCTCCTTGCAAGGGCACAGTAGTGTCTGCAGTAACCAGTTAAAAGATAACGTCAGCTCCTGAGCCCTGCAACTGTCTGATACCCACAGGGAGGGACTGTAACCTCTGCCACAGACAGTGCTGCTGTCTGGGAATGGCTCTGCATGTGCAGGTTGCTCTCTACTGCAAGTAATGCAGCAATTCTGCCCCCCTTGGCAAGTGTGCCAAGAGCTGGGATCTGCCTTACATGGAGAGATGGGCTGAGAGACCCCAGGGACAAGGGGCTGAGTCTGGGTGGGGAGGAGGGACTGGTGTGTGCAACTACCTTTTGGTATCTCCTTACAGGCATTACCCTTAATGGGACCCACTATAAAGTGAGACCTCCCTTTATGTTTGTTTCTGAAGAGGATTCCAGCAACCTTAAAGGGGAATAAAGACTGAAGGGTTTTGTCAGCAGCATTAGAAGAGATCAGAGCTGTTCTCATTGTGTCCGCTACAGCAAAAGGGACATCTGGTGCTGCTGTCCTTTAACCTCAAGGGAACAGAGCGAGGTTCAGAGACGAGGCATATCCAGTCTGTGCAGTGGGAACCCAGGACATCCCTTTAGCCCAGCTTCCCTGGGTTCAGCTGAAGAAATACAAGCAGTGGAAGTGACCAAACTTCACCCGTAGTCAGACATCCCTTTAAAGAAAACAGAGTAAAACATCCCAGCTGGAAGTCAGACACTGACCTGTTGAGTCCTGCTGACTGCTGTCTGTATTTCATACCTGCAGGGCAGGGCTGGGGCCATCTGGGATCACATCAGATATGCAAGGCTGGTCTTCCAGCCATCCAAGGTGAACTGCTGTTCAGATCCATGGGGGTGGAAGGGGTAGCGCACCATGGAGATTTCATGGGATTCCTGTGTGGGCTCAGCTGCAAATACACATTTTTTAGAAGGACAAACACATTCTCAAGGGGGAAGAGGTACATTATGCTAAGAGCTGTGTGATGGCAATGGCACCAGCTGCCCAGAGGTCAGACCTTTGCTATTGCCTGTTTCTATGTGTCTGAGAGCCCTCCTGGTCCCACATGCTGATGTTTTATACCATCCCTCTTCCCCTGCAGCCCCACCATAAAGAAAGAGCAACCCCAGCCCATAAAGCAGACAACAGTGGCTGGTGCTTACAGAGAAGATAGCATAGGTGAGAACAGGTTTAAACTTAAGCTTTCAGAGTCCCAAACTGTTATCCCAAGCCTAATTCTAAGGGAATCATAAGATTCAGTGTGCATTGGAGAAGCCACTCTCTCCCTCCCCAGGCACCCACTGGAAGGGCCATCCTGCTCCCTGTCTGCACAGTTCCTGAACCCTGGGGTTCAGACTGTGTCTGGAGCTATTTATGACTGTAAAGGCAATATTAATAACCAAAAGTAATGGTCAAAAGGTATTAATGACAAAGCAGGGAGGAAAATTGTTACTATCAAGGCCTGGAACTGCTTCTGATTTGTAGCCGAAGAGGGGGTGCTTTTTGCCTGTGGAAAGATGCTGTGCCTTTGATGCAGCTCGCGCCTGATTCCCTCCCTGCTCATTAGTGGTGCTCCTTACTGTCTTCTCAGCAGGTTTCTCCCAAATGCCTTCAGTTTCCCAGGACCTTGGTGCCACTGAGTGAGATTAACCCCAAGCTTTGGTCTGATGACCACACTGAATGGAAATTAAACAGCAGGTCGTTTCAGCTGGAAATGGGAATCTTTTGTACTCCCCCACAAGTCCCGGTTTTCCAGCTACTATGGAAAGGAGCCTTTAGAGGGGATATCTTCATTTTGCACCCAGTGATTTAATTCTGGAGCCTGAATGCCACAGGAATTGGTTTACCCTGGACTCATACTGGTGAGACCTCCATCTGCGGGTGGCCAGGCACCAGTGCATGATGCCTTTGCTGCCAAAGCCCCCAGTGTCACCAAGCTAGCAAGGGCTCCAGCAGACATGTAGGGAGTTACATTGATGGAGCACAGGCTTTCTTCAGGGACCAGCAGCTGCAAACATACGCACAGAGGTCACGGAATGGTTTGGGTTGGAAGGGACCTTAAAGCTCATCCAGTTCCAATCCCCTGCCATGGGCAGGGACACCTTCCACTAGAGCAGCTTGCTGGGCCTGCAAGACAAGCAGAGTGCCTGGGTCTATCCCATTTTTGGCTTAACCAGGAAAGGTCAGTTCTGCTCGTAGCACCAAGCTGGATTACTTGCTCTCTCAAGCAGTGCATTGATTTTCCACTCTCTCCTGTAGTCCTTTAAACCTGCAGAATGTGGGTTTTCAAACATTATTTCACCAAAACACTAGCGTTTATGCCCGCTTTGCACTGAGAGACAACAGCCATAGTTCAAAGCAGCAGAGAATCACGCTGGGGTGGACTTTTCATCATTAAGTGCTGGAGTAAGCATTTGCAGGCTCAGTATATAAGAGAAACAGATTGGACAAAGGGTTAGAATTCACTTTAAATACCTCTGGAAAATTAAAAGTACTCAAAAGAAGACACTTGATGGATCTTTTAAATCTATGGCTGCATTTTGCCACTTGTTCATAAAAAGGAGCGCTGATGGCTTGAGAAATCTCCTTGGTCTCAGGGGGACAGGGTAGGGAATAAGCAGCTGATCCTAAGGCCACTGCACACCCTTGGGAATCCCACTGATTTGGTGGGTTTGACAGTGCGTGTTGCCTGAAGTTAAGCAGGCTCACACAGCTTGTCAGTAAGAAAGTACTAAGGGTTAGAAGAGTGCAAATAGCATCTGGTCCTGAGTAGTTAATACTGTAACCTGGCGAATTCCATAGCTTGCTGACCATTCTGTCCCATAACAAAACCCTAATCCCTTCTCAAAGATCCTTTTGCAATTGCCTCCTGATCGCTTGGGAAATGTCCCTGATACCCAGAAACCAAAAACTGGGCTCTTGCTCCTTGTGAAACGCTCGCCTCTGTCAGAACGGATTTCAAGAGCTCGGTCCTTTAACTTCCTTGCTGCCACAATTGGAAAAGAAGGGAAAAGCAGCAGCTGTTTCCTTTTAAAAGCATCAGTGGTGCTGGGAGCAAACCAAATCACAGGCTCCGTGGGTTACCCTCTGCCCGCAAGACTTGCATCTACTGGAATGCTGTTGGTATGATGGAAACTCCCATCAAGCTCTTTATTCAGTGGTGGCAGCTAGGGACCGTGTCTGCCTTTTGGACCAGACATTTATGTTCCATTAGTTTATATACAGCTACCAGCTGGGAGCTTGTTCGCTGCTGGTGTCTGATTTAGGGGCTCACATGAAGAAGGGATGTGATTTACAGATGCAAACTGGGAAGCCGATTGCTCTTGGTCTTAGCATTGCGTTGGGAACTGCAGTTCCTTCTGACCACAAGAGCAGCAAACCTGTGGAGCCTCCCACTAGGAACACAAGCCTCAGTCCTGTGGTCCCTGTTTGCTTCATGCTGTGCTATTTCTTGCACAGGCACAGCAGAAACCCACAGCCTTTCTCCTTGCTGCCCAAAACCACTGGTTGCAACTGGTCATCTCTATCTGCCCAGCCTGTACAGCTGCGTGCAGGGTTATACAGAGAGAAGGTGATGCTGTAACGTGGCTGAGATGGGAGCCAGCTGATGGCCTTTTTGCTCAAGGGAACCCTGTAAAGTCCTGGAGCAAGCTACTGCTGCGATACTGCCCATCATGTGTCAGTGCACAGCCAATGGCTCAATACACAACAACTCCTTGCACTGCAAGGAAACGCAGTTCAGAGGGAGGAGATGGAGAGGTCATTTTTCTACTGTGTCACATAGATCTCCTGTGAGCAAGGCTTTGCACAGAGCAGGGACTTGTACCCTCGGTGCGCTTCTTTACACTGATTATGGTGGCTGGGAAAGAGGAGTCTGAGCATTTCAAGCACAAATAGGTCTTGCAAGAAAAACACTTGCTTCAAATTCCCCTCTGGAGGTGGAAATTT